AGCTGATAAACTGTATGAGAATGTGGCCTTGAATGTATTGTGGCATCAAATGTTAACAGGTTGATCTGTGAAGTTGCGGCCAATGTACTGATTTTGTCTTTAACTATTACATTTTAAAATTAATGTTCTAATATTTTCCTCCTTTTTTTCTTCCTACATCTTTCCATGTCACTGTACTATTGTAGATTTCTCTCCATGTCTATTCATTTTTCCCCCACCTCCTGTTTTGTGCTGCAAACCTTTCAGCTTTTTATCATCTTCTTCCTTATGTAAAATACCTTGGTCTCGCTTCTAATCCTCTGAAAAGAAAGGTCTTGTTTTCCATCTGTACCTAGACAAACTAATTCTTTATACCTTTACTCTTGTAAGATGAATATCCAGACTCACCAGATGAATAACCACACACTGGGAAAAAGGTGGAGAAATGGTATATTTAAGTTTCACATGCTGTTAACTCAGTTTTGTGAAGATTTTTGAAGTTTCTTCATCCTTTTGTTCAACATGTATTTGACTTCTTTCATAGAGACACATTCTTAGATTATTAGATCCCATTAGATGACTGCTTTATATTATACAACGTAGTTTAAAAAGATTACTAACTAAATATTTTTTAAGAGTCAGTTAAGTAATTAAAAACTTACTTTTACATCACACACCAGTCAGTATGAAATACTTGAATTTTTACTGTGCTCCAAGATGTAACTTAAAAATAACATTAACTCTTGACTAAATATAAATAGTCAATGATTACCTAGGATTTTGTGTTTTCCTTTCCTTTCCTCACTATTTATTGTTGCTCTGCGCTCACATGGTCATTTTTCACTTCTGATCTTACTTATGATGACATTTATGTTCCCCCAGAAGATCCTATGGATTTTAAGAAATTTTAGTAGCTCTTTAGTGAAAGCCTCAAAAACATTGTTTCTCTTTCACTGCATAGCTCTGAGGAAGATTTTTTTTTTTTTTGGCAAAACCGTTTGCTGTGCTTTCCAGTCAATTTTCTGAGACACATGGAAAATGCTGACAGCACGGCATCAGCTTTGTGTTTTTCACTGAAATGATAACTACTTTTGTTCTGTTCCAGGAAAGAGCAAGAACACTACTCTGAATCTTACTTTTAAGAGTCCTAGGAGCTCTAACCATCCTTCTGTTTCATATAATGTAGATAACCAATGTGAAAATGGAATTACAAGCTCACAGAGCACTTTGTGTAGTCTTGATAGTGAACTGAGTATCTTTTCATCTCAAACAAGTTTTATTTTGTAAACTTGGAGATGAAGTTACTTTTGGAATTTGCAAAAACATTGCAAATTCAATCATAGATTATCATGTGGTGCAAAAAGAGGGGAAAGCATAAAAATATTAATAGAGGATCAATAGAACATCAGTATTTTTAACCTGAACAACACAAATGGTCAGTCACTAGTTAAAGCACTTTGTCACTTGTATAAATTTTTTTGCCTCTAGAGTTCTTGCTGTGTTTTATTAATGAATAGTTATAAATCTTTTTTAAGAACTTAAAGCTATTAGACCAGAGAAAAGCATTTTATTATTGTTATTGTTCACTTGAAATGCTAATTAAAGGCATCAGAACAAAACAATTTGCTTCAGATTGCTGGTTAAATTTCTTTTGTGCATTAATCATTATAATAAAAATACTTTACATAAAAATATATTGCTTTCCTGACAAGGTATATTCCATTCACCAGGGTTGAAAATGGTACTGAAAGTTAAGCTTGGTTTGTGGTTTTTGAGGGTTACATGAAATAATTCATGTGCAAATCAAAAAATAAAACTTACTTAGACACAGGAGTTTTCTGCCAAAACATTTCAAAGTGAGTATTTATCATCAAAATACTGATTCAAGTTATTTTGTAAGTCAAAAGAAAGGGATTTATCTTTTTCAAGCTAAATTTGACATTCTGCCTCTATACTCGATGAAGTTGATTAATACCTAATTTGGATACCTGCTTTAACCTGCCAGGACTGAATGTGTTTATTTTTCTTTATCGATTACAAAAGTTTATTGATTACAAAAAGAAACTTGCATTGACCAATGGCTGACTAGAGCTGGGGCTTTATCCCAAACCAAAATTCAGGTGTATGAAATGTCTGTTGCTTCTAATTGTTCCGGAAAAGCTGTTTCACTATAAGGTTTATATGGGGTTTTAAATTGCAGACTAGAGGATTATTGATGGTTTACTAAAGAAATGCACAACTTGTATGTAATTCTGATTTGTACTTTTGAAGGTCATTTGCATGTTTGTTAATGTTGGCTAACTTGATGTAAAGAAAACATAATTCTGCAAATAAGCAATGTGTTATTTCTTTATTGTAAGACTGAGACGTGTGTTGATTTAGCCTAGATTAAAAACAATGCAATGCCTTCCCTGCACATTACACATCACTCAAGTGGATCTAGTTTACAATATGTTTTTGAAGTGAAATTCAGTTCAGTAACTCTCTGGTCCCAAAATATTTAAGACCAAATTTCAATGGAGATAGAAAAAAAATAGAAAAAATACTAGACAAAACCCTCTGATAGATTATGTTGTGCTGAAAAGGTGTCTTGAATTTTTTCTGGTTTCCTTCCTTATTTCTATACCGTTTTGCCTATTTAGAAATCTTCCATGCTAGCATGACTTTTTTTTTTTTTTTTCAGCTGAAGTCCAATGTGAAATCTTTCTAGTTTTCTGTAAGACAGCACTGGCAAACTCACAGAATACCCTGGACCAAGTGTTTTCAGGACTATCTTGATTCTGCCTTTTCTTGAGTGAAAACCAAAAAGTATATTTTATTGACTCTTTTTTGTGGGTACTTTTTTATGGGTACTTAAGCACGTGTTGGGCTGAGAAAGACAACAAGGACAGAAATATTCTTCAGTACAGTTTTCTATTAGGTTTTTAAAAAATGTGGCTTCAGCTTAGAATATGGGCAGATACCAGTATTTATAGTGACTACTGTAACCCATATCATGAACTACAAATTTTATGAAGTTACATGTTTTTCACTGAGAATGTTACTTTGTTTGAAATTTAATCCTGTGTTGTCCTTTATTCCATCCTTGGTTCATGTAACACTAGCCAGTTCAAGCCAGTTTAGTGAAAGGTTGCTATTTTTCAATGTCGTCTTAGCACAAGTGTGTTCTATTTGATTTGAGCATGTATAACAAAAAATAACAGAATATATTGACTGGAGTGTACAAGTCAAGCTCATGTTCTTAACTCCATGTTCAGCACAAGCTGGAGGTGGAAACAAGATAAAGTTAACAAGAAAAATATAGCTCCCAGTGGAGCCACAGCTGAGTGTTTTCTGTTCATTTATGTAAACTCAGCTTATACCTCACATGAGACTGTGGCCTATATTGGTTTATCCTGAATATATTGTCAGCACCATCACCTGCATTTAATACTGTGACAGACAAAAGGCTTTCTAAGAACAGTCTGAGGCCTGAACCCAATCTGTGGGAACTGCATTATGAAAGTTCATTTTTAGAGGTTTATGTTAAAAATAAAAATTGAAATGTTTGGCTATTTAACAGCAAATTATACATCTTTTTCTTAGAATAAATGTTTGCAAGCATTTTACGTTTTGCAAGCATTAGCCTAAATGAATAAATGGTAGTCTCATTTTAGACAATGCATTTTGTCTTTCAGTCCAAAACATTGGATGAGTTTACACTTGTTCTTTCCACAGTTCCACAGTTCATATTTGTCACAAATGTGAAAAAAGAAACAAGGTGACTTGATTTTCACCAAATTTCTGAAATAACAGTTTTCCTAAACTGTTATGTGGTACCTCCTTTATTTTCCTTTCTGTAAATGAAGTAAGGAAAAAAAAATATGTCTGTATGTATTTCATCCTTTCTGCCCCTGCTGTATTCCTGATGGTCTATTCACATCTTACTGACACTGACAATCTATGCTGATTGTGCTGAAATAAATATAGTTAAATGTAGCATACATGCAGACTTATGCCACGCAATAGATAGGTAATTAAATGAGTATAAAATCTAGACCACATGTAGAGGATATTCAGCAATCTATAAACTTAATATATTTGACTCTGGATATATGGTATACATTAGTTTTACCACTACTTAAATGTACTAGTTCTAAATTATCTGTAGTTATAAAGCCAACAGACAGAGTAGGAAAAAACCAAAAAAGCCTTCTTTGTTCATATCTGAGACAGATAGTAGCCTACAGTTTTTACAACATAAATTTTTAGACAAGCAATAAATGGAAAAAGATGGGCTATCTTTAATAATTGTTGGTTATGGGTTATGATTTATAAACTATTGCTCTGAGATTAACAGTGACTGTTTTGTATTAGCTTTTGGTGGTTTTGGTTTTTGGGTTTTTTTGTTTGTTTTAAATTTAGATAATTACTGTGCTTTGAAATGAATTCATGCAATGTATGCACTTGTTAAGCTTTGGTTAACACCAATAAATGGTCCTGGCATGCACAAGTTGTTTTCCTTTCAGATGAAACTGAATTGGGAAACGCACTGCAGGGGTGCAGTGTATGTACTTCCACATGTAGTGATCAGCCTGCAGGTGAGACCAGTTTAGGACTAGTCTAGGCCTTAACCTCTGAAATGTGTGTGTTGTGTCATAATTGTCTAACTCCAAAGTTCTGGTTTTTGTGTGTTGCAGTACTTGCTAGGATGGTGTGAAGTGAACAAATTTTTTGGGGGGATTTTTTTTCTTTTGTTTTGAGGCAGGATTTCTTCTTTTCTTCCAGGCTTTGTCTTTGTCCTGTGGAACATAGGTTTCATGGGATTTTCAGTTCAGGAACTCACAACTTCATTAAAACAACAAAAATCAATGTTGAAAAAACTTGATTTCATGGGATTTTCAGTTCAGGAAAAGTTTTAATGAAGTTCACAACTTCATTAAAACAACAAAAATCAATGTTGAAAAAACTTGTTGAAGTAATAATTTAGTTGTTTTGGCAGGAGACATTAAATCTAGCAAAACTTGATTTCTTTTTTCCAGGAAAGAACAGTAACAATTAGAAGACAGACTGTAGGAGGATTTGGATTAAGTATAAAGGTAAGATGATATTTTGGTCTGTTTATTGCATATCACACAAAGAGTGTCTTTGTATAGAATCAATGTTACTGTTAATAAGTGCAAGCTGTTCTAGACTAGAAACAAGACAGGAAACATATTCTTGTATGTTAGATGCTGTTACAGCAGGTAGCCAGAACTATGCTGCCTTATGGAAGGAAGGCAACCATTCCCTTAAAATTCAGGCTGACCAACTCAGTAATAAGGTTTGATGTAAGAGTTGAGAAGTGTTTTTAACTGTATAGACTGTACTTGTTCGGCTTCTCTCCAATTTAAATGGTTATTAATGAATGCTAAATTACAGTGGCAGGAACAAGGAACAGCCAATAAGTCTATCATCAATTCTGCTACAAAGAATATCACATTAATTCATTGCAATTCATTAGTGGGACAGAAAGTGTTATTGCGTGCTTGTATTGTTTATTTTTCTGTAGATCAAGCCCAGACAGCAATTTATCATGTCACTGTGGTTTTGCTTTTCTCAGTAAGATTTAAGAACATATACAAATGTAGGTGATCCTTTTTAGGAGAGGGAGGAAGGGTTAATAATTTTTGTCATTGTAATCTATGAGTTTCAAAACTTTACCTTAGCTTTGAGTCTGAGTGTAGACGGCACAAGATTAATTTTATCTTCTAAACACAGCAGTTCTCAGTCTCAAGATAGCAATGGAAAAAATGAAGTGTACTTCACATGAATGCAAAGAGGCCTAAATTATGCATATAAAGTGAAAGTATAGATTTTCCTATGACATCTGCTTATACTGACCTTATAAGTGACTCATAAGAAGGATTAATGTGCATTTGTGTTGTCATTGATAAGAATATGACTGAATAGAAGTATTAATTTTTAAAAATGTCTTAGTGCACTTGCTGTTATCTTGTTGAACCATGAAGACCTCTGTTCAAGGAAGACTAATTGCTATTTTGTCACCAAAGTTTCTCATCAGTTTGGTCAACAATATTTAAGTTTTTTTCCCTCCGGTATCATTATTGGTTACAGCACACTGAATAATGATGCAGTAATGAATGTCAGTGTAAAATCAAGTATATGGGTAAATGAGGTTTTATTTAAATGCTACTAAGAAATAACTGGTTACAGTAAAGACTTTAGATAATTGGAGAGCAAATCTCGAGAGCTGACAAATTTGATTTTACATATACTTTAAAATAAGTTATAATTTAAAATTAACATCACTGACAATCTCAAGATCACATTATTTAAATATTATGTACATTGTATAAAATAAAACATTTAGAAACATAAATTAAATAGAGAATGTACGATGGTCTTTCTTAAAATTAATAGAGTTAAGCTATTCTTAACTTTTTAGAGTAAGATATTTATTTTCTATGATTATTTTATATCATAGATATTTTGATCCAAATTAACCAAAGTATTGGAAAGGCGAAGATACATAAAGTCAGGTGTGAATAGACAATTTTAAATTTTTTTAAATAACTAGCAATCAGGTGATGAAATCCCTTCAAAAATGTCATTAAAGAGCAAAGAGTTCCCTTTAAAAAAGGAAACTCAGACTTGCTTGGATGGCATAGATTGGATAATGAAACTGAAAAGTTGAATTCTGTGGTCCAGGATATTCTGTCGATGTGTTTCAGGTAGTATGATTTATTACTTTAAAATTACTTATTTTTTTAAAAAAATCAATGTTGGTGGGACCTTTTCTGCTAGATCCATATATTAGTAGTTCTACATTCTCACAAAGATGGACAAGCATTTGGATAGCCAACACAATAAAAAAATAATAAATAGTAGTATTATAATTTTAAACTAGTGTAAGAAACAACTTAGAATGGGAACTTACAGTAATTTTTTGTTTTTAGTTTAGTAGGCAAACTTTATGAAGACTCACTGAAATGAACTTTTTATTTATGGCATGAAATGACATTTCAGATCCAAACACTGTGAAAGGTGCCAGTTTTCTATTTAAAATTCAGTTAGGGTTTGCTTCTTGCTGATGAATACAAGTTTGCTGCAATGGTTTTGTTTTGTTATGTAAGATTCCTGAACTTTAGTAAAGAATCTTATATTTGTTGATGATTTTAAATGGAAATATAATTATTTTAATTTTTGCCAGAAAGTAGAGGTCTACAAGTCACCCTGAAGGAGAGAGAAGCACGGAGGCCTCTCCTCCTTGTGTCAGTAACTTCCATAGCCCCTCAAACTACAGTAGTTTCTGTTGTCTTACTGCTCCCAGACTAATTAAAAATAGGGGTTATTTGAGGACTTGCTTTCTGCCTGTGATGTATGTCAGAGGATGTTGTTTATCTGAGGTGTTAATTACAGCAATACAGTGATTAATGACACTCACTTTAGAATACTTGCTTGGGCTTGGTTATGAATTTGCCTAGTTTCAGCTATCAGGTCTGGGGCATTAACATGTCTTTTTTTTGTGTACTGACTTAAAACATCCATTTCCTGCCAGAAAACTAACATGAAAATGTCACCTTTCAACTTTCTCTTGAATAAATTTTTTAAATGTCTTATCCCACTGCAAGAATTTTGAACCCTTGGAATTGTTCTTTTTCTGAAGAGCAGAGAACAAATTCCTAATAATTAAAAAATTAAACTATATTTTTGTTTTATCTGGCTGTGAGGTACATAGACATAACTCTTCTCTTATAACCTGGGTATTCCAACTATATTTGTAAAAATCAGAGATTCAGCTAACTGCTTAAGAAAAACTCCGACTCTAGGGTTGACTTTTGTCCAAGACCTAAACTTCAGCCCTTTAAGAAATAGATTATAATCCACTCTTTCAGGATTTGAAAACCTGATGTTTGCCGGTATGTCTTAGCTGAAGTTAGTGGTGCAACTGTGATTGAACTTCAACCAGACCTGCTCTGGTTTACTCTTCTGAAGAAATGATTTTCTCTCTTCTGAAGGCTCCTGTTAAATGTTTGTTTGTGAAGAAATAGCCATAGACATAGATATAGAATTTGGGAAGTGTAGTATTTCACTTATTTATCACATCTCTGGCAAGTTTAAGATGCAGAGCCTTGACAAAAGAGGATGCTCAGTGTATGATTTCAGAAAGAACATCCTGTTTTTCTGTAATTGGAGTGTAGTGTTCCTGAAGAAATAGGCAACAAAATTGATAGTTCATTAAACAAATCGAGGTTTTTGGTTACAGTCTGACTTCTGGCTCCCAGGACTCAGTACACTGCCATTATTCTGCCTCTGTTTTGATCATTCTTTTGAAATGATGAACAGCATCAGAGGTGTTCTGAGGTTCAGTTTGACTTTCCTAATTTAACTCAATCAAAAAATTCATTGTCCATAGACCGTAAAGCTATTTTTGTTAGTGGAAATACTTCTTTTTAGTATTAACTCATAGTCCCCTACATTGTCTAACTCTGATGATGGTAAAGTTCAACAATTGGTCTGATCTTTTATAAATTCTTTTGTAGAAGATAAAAAATTAATTTCCTTGTTATACTTAGAACCAAAAACCCCTAGCCTTTTCCAATAAAAGTAACTACTTTCAATTTCCCTATTTTTCATATGTCAGAAACTTCTGAAAAAAACCCAAAACCTCACACATAAAAATTGGGATAAGAAAAAATCTTTAGGAGTGTATCATGTGGCACTTTGAAAGGAGGTGTGGGTGACCTCTCACCAGTAGTGGCCAACATTCAGGACAGTGACCTTCAAAGAGCTGCCAGTGATTAGAGCTTCCTCTGCCCCTTCTAGCAGGACCACCTCCACAGGGGGGAAGCTGCTGTCATTCCAGGTTTATCCCTGCTTAAGGAAAAATGACAAAGAAAATTTGCTTGACAAAGATCATTGTTAGAGTCTGGCAGAGGTCTGAGCCATTAAGTCTTCAACACCACTATTTGATGTATTTCTGTCCATCCTCTGGTCTGAGGTTATAACTACATGCCCATACTAGAGGAAGGGAAAATTTAAAGCAGTGGAAAAGTTGCCTCTGTTCCCACAGGTTTCTTCAGAAGAGTAACCCCTGAGACTGTAAAACCAGATTTTAGACATGCATACACTTTTTCCTCTACAGGACAGAGAATCACGTATGGAGAGTGCAGGCTGCAAGGCTGCAGTGTCAACCTGAAGTAGCATTCAACAAGATGCTGGCAGAATATGCAGTTTGCTAACAGTGACTGGGTATAGATAGTTGATCAACTATTTGCTGTTTCCAGTTTTGATTTTTTATTTCTTAAAATAGCAGGCACTGTATCCTTTTACTAATTTAAAAAGAAGCCTGCAATGAGAAGAAATAGTTCCCTTGGGTAGGACACTGCTGAAAGCTTTCTCAGATCTGTAGTGCAAATGGATTTAGGTAAATTCAATACAATGAGAGAGGAATAATCATGTTGTGTGCATTACAGGCTGGCTTAGTAATAAAAGTAATTTCCTACTTTAATGGAGCTTCAGATCTAAGGAGGCAGTTTTAAACCTCACACTTCTTTGCTGGACTTTAAGTATCCTGGATAGTACAACATGTTTGTAACATTGGAAGCTTAGAAAGAAAGTGACACAGTTATTTTTTCTGTTTGTTTGAAAAATTTTTAAGAAATTAAATTTGCATGCGGCTAGAAAATTTGGAGGGTATAGGTTAAAACTTATTAATTTAGTGAGCTTGAACTCATTATCTGCAGTGAAGCCAGCTTTTACTGTTGGTATTCTTCTGATGAAAACTACTGAAAGATATTTAAAAAGCTATAATGCTACAATTTGATGGTAGCCTCTGGTTTTTATGGAGTCAATACTGAGTATGTGTTAGAAATACCGATATGTTCTGTGCTTGTCAACACTCGTCTTATGCAATGCCAGCAAAACTTTACCTGTAGACATATAATTGTTGTAATATTACTGAGATCTCAGTGGTTTTGGGGCTGTTTGATAGCCACTAGCAAAAGGAACATTTATCCTGTTTAACATTCATCTGCTTTAACATTCTGTGGTTTCAGAGGAAATTAATCTTTACTCCCTGACAGAAAGAGGTGTTGAGTGCAGGAGTCTGTTCAGTTTCAAACACTGATATTGCATGAAGAAGGGATGTGTGCTGTTCCTCAGGATTGAAATACCTATGTCAGTCCTTTTCACAACTTGACACAGGGTACCTGGACCTAATAAAGCCATCATTTCCAAAGTAAAATCTGTCTGCTGAAAAGAAGAGTATACAAACCTTCAACCAGTATTCCTAGGCGAAACAACAGTGTGGCAGACATTGGTTTCTGGTGACCTGAATTTGTACAGCTTGCATTTGAGTTGCATTGATGCTCTTGGCAGAGGAAAAAGTATTTGTGTCTCTCTGTATTTTTGCCTTTACCTTCCTTTGAATTTCCTTTTCATTTCAGGTTTATTTTTATAACTTTGTTCTTAAGCACCATAAATATTTCCAGTCCCAACAGGTTAAATTGAATGAAGCAACAGCATTGAATTGTTGTTGAACTCTTGAAACTATCATCTGGTTTTCCTTTATTTCTCTCCATTTATTGAACACCTACTGTTCCATTTCTTAATGCTTCTTTTTCTGTTCCTTATTACTTATGCCACAGCTTTCCTCACTCTTTGTGCTTGTGTGACAGACAGAAACAAATAAAGGCTGCTTTTGACATGAAAAGGCCAAACCTTCTTTCTTGTGCTTTTGTTTACCTCCTTGCCAGCATGAAAACTAAGTGGTCACAGTGTGATTGCCATTATAGCTGGATGTCCATTCTGCTTTTACAGGACACATTTCATACATTAGGCTCTCCAGAATTCACAGAAAATGGTGTCCTTCAAGTCTGGTAGAGTTCTGAATTCACTTCCCGAGCTAATGATGGCAACTGAGAACTTCTTTATGTGAGACAATAAGGAATTAATCACAGTCAAGTATTCATTAGAAAAAGAGGAAGTGCAGAATCAATTATTTGCTCAGTCTCTCTAAAAACTGCATTTAAAGAAAGGGTAAAATATAACTTTAAGCAAAAATATATTTTTAGCGACTGACAAAGATTGTAATTTATTTTGTTTTCAGGGTGGAGCAGAACATAATATTCCAGTGGTCATTTCTAAGATTTCCAAAGAACAAAGAGGTGGGTATCGGGTATCAGCTTATTACACTGTACTTTAATGTTCCCTTCAGAAAAACATGTATTAAATCTTGAGATTCTTCAGTCAATGTTAAACAAATACTGTTGTTGAACCCTTTCTCTCCCATATCTTTATGATCTCTCTCTTCCTCAGAAACTTTTTCTGAAAAAGTACAGAATTGATATTTGGAATAGTTTTTCAAGTCTTCAAAAAAATTTTTTTTTTTTTTTTTTTTAGAAAATAGAAGCAGGAAAGTAATAGGGAAGTATTAGAAAACAAATAGAAAGTATAGAAGAGAAATAGGAATGTTTAATAAATTTAACAAAAGGCAATGATTTAGTGGCTTTGACTTCCCAGTAGTTATTGTCTGGAAGCCGTAGCAGATTAAATCTTTGGCTTTTAAATCATAGTAACACAGCAGGAGAATGCATGACTTTTTAACCTGGTTACTCAGGTAGTAGTTATAGTACTTTGAGTACTGCATAAAGTTTTGGCCATACTTATTTTTAATTGTAACAGGGCTAGTGCTCAATTTCGGTATTGATTTAACTGGCAACATTTTGAAATTATTGGAATTATACATGGATAGTAGTTAAACAGCTCAAGATGTGCATAAGTATGAAGGAAGAAGGTTGTGAACCAGTACTCATATGGTGTACTTAATATCTTTGTTATGTTTTGTATGTATTTGTATGAGGCCAGAAATGCAACCTTGGAAATATTTCCCTTCATCTGTATTGCAATAACTCTAGAACTCAGCTTCTCCTCAACTAAAATATGCCAGTATGAAAAAAAAAGTCTCTTACTTACCCACTCAGATAGAGATGTATGGAAGAATCAGCATATTGAGAGCCAAAAGCCAACTCTGAAAGGTATATGTGAAAGTTGGAGTTAGGGAGAATAAGGAGTAGCAAGGAATGAGCCCCTAAGGAAGGCAATAAGTTTAACCTTAAGAATTTATACTTGTGACTACAGTCTTTTCAATATACATGTAACTAATACATAAAGATGTGGCATATATTACATGCAGTAGCTATTAAGGACTGCAGAAAAATAAGAAAAATATACTTGAGTTTAATTGAGCACACTGAAGTGCAGTTTTATTTCTGTCATTAGTTTTTTTGCTGCAGTAGCTCTTGCATTGTTTCTAGCCCCAATACCTAGCTGTGATATAATCTTCATTACTGTTTTCAATAAAAATACTGAAGATTTTTGCAGAGCTGGTTTTGAGGGACATCTCTTTCATAGGAGACTGCTGTCTTGAGATTTAGAAAGTGTCATGCTGTGTTCCTGGACTAGAGAACTTTGATAGAGAAAATGCTGTTTGACGCAAAGCCTATGCCTCAAAATAAATCAGAATGTCTGTCCTGTAATAATTTAACCATCCGTTGTTAAATATATCTAATAGGACCATTCCATCAAACAAGGACTTAAGTATCGTAATTTACATCAATATTGATTCCAGTTTTGCATGTAAGTAAGTAAAGTTTTTGGATAAAGTCCGATACTAGTTTTTTCCAGACAGTACCTTCTATGTTGATATGGAGTATTATAGGTAATAATCACATGTAATATCTTAATATCCCTTAGTTCTCATGTTCACGTTCTTAAAGGTTATTCATGCATTTACAGACAAATAATCTGTTATATTTCTGGTATGCTTATAAGGTGTATTTGAATGAGATAGCTCTGAAATGGAACACAGTGTTTAAAATGGAAGTGTAGAACTAGATTTTATAAATGTCTTTGTGATGCAGCTTTGTTTTTAAAATCACAGTTTGGCTGGTGATTTTTTTACAATATATTGATTTTTCTAGCTCTTCAGCATATGCAAGTGTTATCCAGCATTAATAGTCCCTGTTATTTATCAGAGTTTATCAAAGATGCAAGATCTAAAGGGTCCTTTATCTTTGGCAAAAACCTAAAAATTAAATTTGTTATTCATACATGTCTCTGAAGTCTCCATGTTGCTTTTTTCTCTTTGTAAGAAATTATCTCTCACAGGCAAATAAGACCTAGTCCTGCAGTCATCTTCTATTTGGAAAAATATGCCCCACCTTACCAGAATGGCCTAAAAGGTGCTAGTGACTGATGGATAAAGTTTCATAGTTGTGTGCTTGAGCTGAATAACTTCTTTTATTGTAACACTGATACATAAGTATTTTGGGTTTAAAAAAGAAAATGCAAGTAATTTATTTGGAAATTTTATGTTGGGGTTTTTATCATGTTTTTGTTTGAAATTTTAAAAGATTATGCAAAAGCATTAAATTCAATAAAAATTCTTGTACAAAAAATGTTGGATGTTTTGTACAAAGTGAGTGAAAAATATGCTTTCTGTTTTCAGCGGAACTTTCAGGTTTGCTCTTTATAGGAGATGCAATTCTACAGGTGAGTAAAACTGCAAATTATTTTGGCTGTATTTTTCTAGAAAAGTGAAATGAAATCTATGCTTATGAAATGTAGAGTAAGTCTTCTCTTTATCTTTTTAATAACAGATTAATGGAATTAATGTGAGAAAATGCAGGCATGAAGAAGTGGTGAGCTTTTCTGTTTTTTAGTCTACTTTTTTGTCTTTTGTAGTTGCTGAAATGATAGTGTATGCTGATAGCAATGCAGTGGCATCAGCTGTTTTATTGTTGTTCCTAAACAAATATGCCTGTACCTTCTAACATGACAAGCAACAAAGTGCAATCTTTTCTTTCTAAATCTGTGTAATTGCTCTTCTTAGATAGGATTTTCTATATTAAAGGTGATGGTTTTATTATGAAGATTTGAGCTTTACAAATTCCAGCATTTCTTCTTCCAGATAATAGCTGTCAAATTTCAGCAGTGCTGCACCTTTCTGGCTGTGTGGGGTCATTTTAATTTCAACAGCTGTAATTTGCACTGTGTTGGAGATTTGTTGTTTGGTTACTTTTAATCCTGTTAAAAAAAATTAGAGAAAACTATTCATCTGCCACTCATCCTCAGGCTGTTCCTTATGAGGGTGCTCTTCTCCTTTAGTTAAGATGCTATCATTTTGGGTATAAAATAAAATTTTATTAAGGAGATTTCTTCTTGAGAAGAAATGTTTGAAAGGTCTGTAGTAGGCTGGTTCCACTGGTGAATCAGCTTTGCTAAATGCATCATGTACTTTAGCCATATTTTTTTTTGACTCTTAAATACTTTCAGAAGCAGAAAACCCTTTATTTCAGAAAACAATGGCAGAAATTAAAAGATTACCAAAGAAAGTACTTTTAAATCCTGTTTAGCTCCATAGCATTTGTACCTGTATTTTTAAAATAACGTAGTACTGACATACTTGAAGGCTTCTCTGTCTGACTCATTTCCAATTCAAGGACACTCCTTGCATGTCATCCAGCATTCTGCTCTCTGACAGATCAGCGAACACGTGCTGTTCAGGTATAGAAAGCAGGAGTTAATATAGATGAAGTTCTGTTGAAGTTTAGTGCAGGCTGAAAGATTAGATCACTGCACTATTCTTCTGAGTTTTTTTTTCACACTTGTTTCCTTTTGGAAATCTACTGAAAATCCTTTTTCATTCTTCAGTGCCCTCATCATACCCCCTTACATATACACTGGCTAGTAGTTGTATTTATATTGCTTTTAGGTTTTGTCTGCGCAACAATGATTAGGTTGTAAATATTTTATAAGTTTACTGCAGTTGACTTGTTTAGTATACATTAATATGGCAAATCTCTCAGTGGGATTTAAATATTAGAATTTAAATGTTGGAATTACAAAACATGAGAAAGATATTACTAAAAGAGTAGCCTTGTACACTCGGACACTAGGACATCAGGTTTTTATTTTCTGTTTTCTGAGACATTCTCTAAACCCTCAAAATGATACATAAATCTGTTGGGTGTTTATGATAAGGTTGAAACCCATTCATGGGAAGAAAAGTGGTTTTGGAAAAGCTGAAAGGGGAGATTGACATAGAGTAGCAAGTGTTATCATGTTGAATTTTGATTTATACCTTATTTATCTAACATAATCTCTTCTTAAACTCCTTGTAGATAATTCTCTATGAATTAAAAAAATAGTATCTTACCAGTTTTGAATTTATGTATTTGCAAATGGTTTAGGAATTTAAGAAGCAAAGAATTTTTAAATTAAATCCTTATATTAATTATGAATATTTTTAATATTTAGTAGCAAATATTGACTAATATTTAAATAGGATCAAATGTCCAGATGACATTTTATAAAATGAAGTGTACATAAGAGTTATAGATATATAATATAAATAAAAAAGCCAAAGTACATGAACTCTGATAATCCATTTTTTTTTAGAAACCTTCACTGTTACATGCTATGTGTTTATGGAGTAAATTTCTTGTAAAGCTGCAATAATGGTAATATATGTGGTTCTGCATTGTGTGGTAACCTGTGAATTTAGGCTTAGCCCTCAGTAAAAGTACATCCACTGGTGTGCCAGCAGGAGTCGCAGGGAGGGTTTTGTCTGCAGTACGTCCTTTGCAGCTTGAGTTGATCTTGGACTTCTGTCATGTGGGGTCTTTATCAAATACAGGATCTGTAGCTCTAATCTCAAGGTAATATAGAGTAAATAGAAGTGTGTGGAGCCTAGTTGCTTGCAGCAGGGAGTTGAACAGGAGTTGAAACTTAATTTTCAATCCTTACAGCATCTAGGCACTTTTGCAATGGCTCTGCAGGACACCTGAACTGTAGCTTTGTTTTGTTCTGATTTTTTCTGTACCTAATTAAGGCTTAGCAGGTACAATGTTATGTAGTGTTTGGGTTGTCTTAATGTCTTAGAAAATTTCCATTGTGAACCTGTGGGTAATTTTTTTCAGTGGTTAATGCTGAAGATAGCTGTAAAAAATTCAGACTTGTATCTACAGTGTGACTGTGATGAGCATTCATTCTTTTCCTACATGCAAAATGTGTTGCTGCTTCTGGAAACTTTTTAAGCATATGCCATATCTTCATAGCTCTGCAGTGAAAAAATCTGTGGCATAATCACTGCAGCCTATTGTAGGAAACTGATGAGTAGTCAGCCCTGGTATTTAATCTTGCTTTACTGGTAACCATACTATGTATATAAAATTATTTGATTTTCAAAATTAGATAGTTTAATCAAACTCATGGCATCTTTCATAGCAGGGAGAATCTTTCCCCAATGTACAGTGATCTTAGTTAACATTGTGGGCACTCTGTTGTCTTTCAGTACTTTTGATATTGATAGATAGATAGATACATGCATACATACATAGAAAGAAAGAAAGATGGATGGACTAATAGACTCTGATAAGCCTAGATAGGTAGGTTTAGTCAGTTCTTCATGTACCTTACTGGAAGCCTTTGCGTGGTTCCTTTCTGATTATTTTATTTCGCTTTAGGTGAATCACTTCATCTTGAGCTTAGTTTTCTGCTGGTAGAAGGTGAAAATCTTGTTCACACCATGAAAGCACATGATGACTTTCTATCAAAGACTGACTGTCAGCTTGCTGTTTCTCTTGGATTGTAAAGAGCCCCAACTGAGTACAGCATAACATTGCTTCAGTCTTAGTGCTCTGATGTGGTAAGGTAAAGACATAGTCTCTCTGGTGAAGTGTCAATACAGGAGAAGGCTGCAGAAAAAAAATAAACTAGCAATTTATCATAAAAAATATCTCCCAGCATCTCTCAAACTGGCAGTATCAGTCCAAAAAAAATGCAATATGAACTTGTGTATAGAAGATGAGTCCACTGTATCTGTTTAAATACACAACTTGGTGCTCTTTTTACTCAGGGTGTTTTAATTATTCCTTTTTCAGTAGACACTCCTTTAAATTTTTCAACAAGAATTTTAAAAGGCTGAAATTAGGATTATTCACATACAGACCTCTGAGTTTTGGCTTCTGTCTAATTAATAAGGTCTAAAAATGCATAGCTTGTCAGTCCACACACCTAATGGTAATAGATATGATTATTCTTAAGGATGTAAATTAATGTATTTCTAGCTTTTACCTCAATTTATTGTCCAAACATAAAGATGGATAGATAAGCACCAACGTAATATGGTTGTATGGATGTTTTTGGTGGTTCTGGGTCTAGGCACAATGTCACTAAAAATGAACAAGATTTTGGGAGAGAGTGAGAGGCCCTTGAGCCACTTGTGAGTGGCTACAAGTAGAAGAGTGTGTCAGTTCAGTTGGATACTACCAAAAACCTTGTGTTGGATCTACTGTTCAGAGTTGTAGTGCACCAAATCATCTAGAGCCAAGGTAGAATTACAGTTGAATGAAAGCTGATATGTTTAAGTTTTTCTCTGTTCTTAATGCTGTGAATGAAACATCTCAGAGAGTATCAATAACTATGGTTGCATATCTCTTTGGATCTTAGCATATTTTTTTTTTTTCCTTAGGAAGTAGAAGAAATTAAATTACTATGGATATGAAGTAATTTCTTATTTCTTCTATTTGGGGAACATTCAGGGAATGTTTCAAATGAAAAATGACAGCTCACATGTGTCAGTTAATGTGGCATTTGGGCATTCCTTGAAAAGTAACAGGAAAAGCTCATTTAGTCACAGGTAGCTATAAAGACAGAATAGATATTCAGGCTTTGGTGGCTTTTATGTAAAGGTTACTACAATATGTAGCACTGTGGTTCAATTCAGCCACTGCTTGCATTTTGCAAGACACCATTTTTTCTAGAAGAATGACCTGATTTGAGATGTCCTTGTGCACTGCATTGAATCTTTAGCTTGCCTCTTTTCTCAACATTCATAGCAGGACTGTAACTGTGCTGACTCTCCATGAGTCATTTATGTTCTATGAAAGTGGCAGTGTAGGGATTGTTGCTGCTTAACTGCAATCATCTGCAGCTAATGAAACTCTTACTCTACTTTTCTCTTTAAAACTATGGTCTCATTAAAACTGATTTTTAACTCATTATTAATAGTTTTGGCAATGTTTCTCGTAAATGTTTTTCAGCAGAAGAATGAGCATATTGTATTTTTAAGACAGGAAACCAAGTGATCTGAAATCTCACTCCAACTTGACCTTGCAGATGTGTCTTTTGGTAAATTATGCTTTTATCATATCTTTGTTTCCTTAACTATGAAACAGAGACCTAGACTATTATTGGATTTAGCTCTCACAATTTTATTAAGTACTTCTGAATCTGTTATAGAAAAGTACCTCTGCATTAATATTTTTTAGTTTCATGAAGTGATAACAGCAACCCACGAACAGATTACCACTTTCTCATGTTGCAGAGATCCTGTACTTTATAACTCACGGCACATCCATTTAATCCTTTCCCCTCTAGACAGAATGGCGACTCTAAATGTGGAAGCTGCACAGTCGGTGCTTCTAAGACTATAATCAATTTGCAGTTTTTAACTTTTGAATTTAAAAGTGAAATGTAAACTTTCTGGAAATCCAATACTTACTCTTTCCATACAGCTGCTGTTTTCTATCTAAGACTTGAGTAATAACAAAAAAAATAATATTAGTAAACGGATGTTGCCTTAGCTATCCCAGCATAATTAATGAAAATACCTGTTATTGAATATCCTAATGCTCAT